GGTCTGGTCCTGGAGCCGTGGGTGTCTTCATAGTCTGAATCGCCGTGCGCACTTCAGCAGGTAGAAATCGTAGTGGTACTTCTCCAGTGGGAACAACGGGCATCGGCATTTGGTATAGAAGTTCTTCGCGATAGGTTCCATTTTGTATCGGGAAAAAGTCGGAGTCCCGTCTTCGTTCAGTAGTGCAGCCAGCGGTACGTGATATTCGCAGAGGTCCCTTCGGCACTTCTTGAGACTTCGTCTTCTTTCGGCTGCTTCCAGTATCTTGGCTTGCCTGTACTTGCTGAGATCCTCCTGCAAAGCTGTTCTGCAACTGGCGTTGGCTATCAGTAGCTCGAGATGTGTTGCATTCGGATCCTGCCTCAGAAATCTTCTTCTGTCGAGCAATTCCATTGTATTCTTCAAAATACGTTCCAAGTTCTTCTCAGAAGTCACTGACGCACTCTCCGCAGGCTCGCAATCCTTTCAGAAGCCTGTCGTAGTCGTACGTTGGGTGGGTCCTCGATGGGCCAGTCACATTTCGATATGAGCTCTTCTAGCCTGTTACCATAAACGACTTCCTTCCTTCTCGCGGCACTGTGACAGACTTTCTTTTCCAGCCTTCGGCTAAGTCGTATCTTCGCTCGAAGGAGGCGGTGATCGGAGCCACAGCAGAAGGATGGAACTACTGAAACATCGAGCAAGCTCCACCTTCGGTTGCTAAAAATGTGGTCGATCACCGCGTGAGTGGTTGGGCGATTCCCACGTCCACCAGCAATGTTCTTTCTTCAAGATGGAATTTCCATGGAAAGTCGTGCGGCGGAGAGAAGCCCAACGAGGCGGTTGCCGTTTTCATTCCGGAGCCCATATCCAAACTTCTCCGATCCTACATTCCTTTTCTAATGGCATCCCGATTTTCGCATTGAGGTCGCCCACAACATGCTCGTGAAAGGACTTTTCGTTGCGGACGACCTCTTCCACGTCTTCGTAAAAAGCATCTAGTTCTGAGTCGTCAACTGCTGATGTTGGAGAGTAGCAGTTGATGATGCTGATGCCTTCTGACGTGGAGGGCGTAGTCGTAGGATGGCTAATCGGGGTGATAGGATCCCGTGCGAATCGACAAGATGGACGATAGATGGGTGGACGACAAAGCCAACGCCTACCACGTTTCGTGGTGGAACCTTCTCACCATGAATGATGAATGTCCCACAACTCATCTGTCGCATGTCCTTCTTTCTGAATTTCGTTTCCTGTAGAGCGATGACGTGTACTTGATGTGCTCTGCAGCGTCGAGAAGAGAGTGGAGGTCGGCGATTGTGGAAACTGTCCTGGCGTTGTAGGTGCAGAGCATGAGGCAGTCTCCTTGGCGTGTCGTCCGGGCAGACGTGTCGTTTTTGTCCAATCCGAAAGGCGCCCTAAGGACCTTGATATCAGTCTTGCTACCACCCGGCGCCGTAGGCGGGATCCGATGTGCAGGTTTCTTTCTATTCTTCTAACTGGTAAAGTAATGAAAATTTTTTCCTACAAGAGCAGAAAATCATCAATTTACAGTAAAAAACCAATATTATATTAGGTTGGAAACTAAGTTTTGCAACTGGTGTCATAACTTCCCTCTCACTCGACATGGCGCAGTCAAATTTTTCTGCATTGGATATTACGTAAGCTACAAGCGCAGCTGCTGTCCTACCAAATTCTGACGTCGCAGTGAGGGTACGGTAGGTGCATGGTATGAAGCGGAAAAATTCAAAGTTTGACGGATTTGCTGAAACTTGGCATAGGGGTGTTATCCGAAATGCTGATCACGAAAACGATAGTGAAATTGCGTGATAAGGGCTTTTTTGTAGGATTACTGTAGGTGTACGATATGGGGTCTCACCCTAAACAAGGAAAAAGGCGTTGATTCAACAAATGAATATGATATTCGCGTTTGGCAGTTCAAATATCCTTATTAAAAGTCTCGGCGGAATTTGAGCTTCGGACTCTTTAGTTATTGACGGTCGTCCCCAACAGCTATTGCGTACATCGATTCGTTCGACTTTTTGAGGACGCCAAATTGCGACATGCCCCTGAATTTTGTTTCTTTCTTACTAGGCCAAAGGAGCCAACCTCCAGCAATAACTTATAGACAAATCCGGATTACTGCGCATGGTCTAGGCTGCAAAGGCTTCATTTTAGCTTGAAACCCCAAAAATTCTCCAATTTCACTAGTTTTCGAAAAACGCCTGAAACTTTTCTAGTTTTTGTTCAAAATTTAGACAATTTGTGCTCACTTGTAGCTCACATTGCCTTCTACATAATGCCGAAGTTTGAATGCGCCTTATCCAAAGAGAGTGAAGTTATGAAACCAGTTGCAAAACTTAGTTTCCAGCCTAATATTTCTTGATGTAGCACACAATTTTTTGACACATTCTTGCGGGGGGGGGGACTTTTCATACGATCGGGGACTTCGCACATAGCCTTCGCTCCTACCTTACACCCACATCGCACCTCTTCATCCAGGTAATGAGTAAGATTCTCCACTACGCTTAGGTGAAGGGGGGGGGGGACCTTTCATGCGAACGCTCTCCGATCACTTTGAACTTTAGCGTAGGCTAGGGTGCTGGTAATACGTCCAGTTATCGATTACAAAGGACTAAAATAAAACGTTTATTATCAAAAATGCGTTAGCTAAAAAATATCTTGATTTTATCTGTTGTATGAAGCTTATCGGGCGGTGGTCTCCAGTGCACGAAACGACAAAAAATTCGAAAAGCTTTGAAATAGCGATCATAGTAAAGATCGTCAGGCCACAGCGAATTTATTCTCGCAAACAATTGGCACAATTGTGGTATTGAGTACTTCGCTTTATCGAGTCGCATGCCCTCCAATGGGTGTATGTCAATCCTGTTGCCACTCAGACAATCGCCAGGGGCAGGCGGGCACCGGAAAAATAGATTGCTGATCTCTCGCACCCCGCTTGCGGGTTTTTTGGAAAGCAATCAGGACTTTTCGGAAGACCGCTTGCTGAGTTCTCGATTCCTCAGAGATTCAGCAATATATCTGCAAAAAGATAAGAGCGAAAAAAATTCAACAGGCGGTCTCTCAAAAATCCGCTGACTCAGCGAGCGGTCTTCCAAAAAGTCCTGATTACTTTCCAAAAAATCCGCGAGCGGGGTGCGAGAAATCAGCAATCTATTTTTCCGGTGCCCGCCTGCCCCCAGCGATTGTCTGAGCAGAGGGGCAGCACATAGCACATATTTAGTGTTAAGTTCTAGAATTACTTGAAATTTCGAAGGAAACATATCAGGGAATTTAGGGATTGTTCGATCTTATCATCTTGAAATCGATTTCAAACAAAATTGTTAAAGGTCAAAACACATAAAAATGCATAACAGCAGTTTGTAAATGTTTCTGTCAGTATTCTAGCAAAAGTCTTCAAACTTATCAGGTGGTCACTAAACAGCTAGTAAGCCAATGAACTTCGTCCGGCACTTTTCGGATTTTCCCATAGCATGAAATCGGAGTCTTAAGTTGATGACACTCAGAAAACTCGCGCCTTTTGAGCGTCTCGCCCTTCCAATAACCCCTTTGGGAAGATAACACTTCCAGGTCATGCTGGAAGGTCGGAGAGGCATATGACAATACTCAAATCAGTTCAAAACGTTTGCAAAGGAGACAATTATGTCGACTTAAGAACTAAAAATTTGTAAGTGGAACGATCATAATGTTATTTTTCACAGCAAAACACTTTTTTGGAATAGCCAGAAGGCCCAAACCTGGCATGGTGCCAGTTTTTACTGGATCTTTGCCAAAAGATGATGTGGGGGGCATTCGTATGAAAAGTCCCCCTCCCCCCTCTCTACAGTATACTAGACACGGAGATGCGAAACTTGACACTTAGCCGTAGGTGTTCACACCTTGCACCTCGGAATTGCTCATCGTATGAAAAGTCACTCACCCCATTCTTGCTAGCTTCCCAGCCTGGGTTTTTCAGAAAGCAGCGCCGGCTCCCAAGAAAGTCACCTAACCAGTGCATAAATTACTGGAACTGAGACATGCGCCATTCATAGAGAGCAGAACAACTGATAATCTGATAGAGCGAGATTTGAAGAGTACGTTGGGTACTGAAGTGCCTTTCACTCAAATCTTGCAGGACAGTTCTGACGACGTTTGCCGTATGACGCCATGTTCGTCATGTAAGATAACTCACTGAATCTGTCTATTAGGCTTTTTTCGGTAGGACGTGGTAACTGTGCAGTTGGATTGACAATATGGTTGACCATCGCCTACTTGTACAGCAATTTCAGTGCACGTCCTGCCCGTCCTCCGAAAAGTCTTGTTCGAGGACACCCTGCTCAGCCCCTGATCTTTCGCAGCAGTTCAATCCTTTATTGTTTCATATTGTTATGCGAGCACCATGTTCCGTAACTGACAAAAAACCTGTGTAAAAGCGCTTCTTTCCACAAGAAACAATGCGCAAATTTCAAAATTGCTCCTTTTTGGCTTTTAAGATTTCCAATCCGAATGTATCAGTTTTTCACCGGAATAGTAGACATATTTCAAAGAGCAACATTGTCCCATACGCATCTTGCAGCACATCAACCGCTCCTTAAAGATGTATGGACGAAAATGGAAAGGCTACGAACTTATGGAATGACCTAATATGTTGCAAATATGCGAAGGAGCAGCACCGTACAAAGATTGCCTCCAATCTTTTGCTCTAACTGCCAAATTGCGTATTTTATAAAGCCTAAACTGGCCCAATTCACTTGCGAAACTTGCTCAAGTGCGCCTGCACCAAGATATTTGAGTTCCCTTGAGATAGACAATCACCTCAAACTGTCAAATTGAGTGAATTTAGTGCTCCAATTAGTTACTAGTACTATCTTTCACTCGAAATGTTTCACGTAGGATAGAAAGAACACGAGGATGAGTTACAAGTGTTTAAAGCATGTGTGTTTTGATTCAGATTGAGATAGACCTGAGAATAGTAGAAAGCAGTTCCATCTTCAGATTGTAAAAAAGCAATTACAATAAACTACCCCGGGAGTGTATGGCCAGACCATCCATATCGGCTCATCCACTTTAGGGTGTCTCAAATGGCACTCGAGCTTCACTTTCTGTGTGATATATCCGCCTACGTAAGCAATAACTTCTTTCACTGAAATATGTTGCAGGGACTTTTGATGATCAGATCTCAGAGAGTAACACACCCGGTGTGTATGTAGGTGGCCACCGCCATAACCACCATACCACGGACGGATGGACGTTGTCCAGCAAATGCATCAGAATTGCGATCCATAATATGGCACAGTATCTGAAAGTAAAACGAAAATGATGACTGTCGTCTCCAAATCGCAATCAAGCAAAATGAATATAATATCTCGCTGTTACACTTGCACAAGATAATTCAAGCAAGTCAAATGCGCGAATTTTTTACTATAGTCAGAGTAGGACAAGATGAAAGCAGTAGGCGCTTAAAGAAAGTTGGTATAGACAACGAAAACTCGTTAAATTTTTGCATTAGGAGCAATGCATTTGTCACTATCTTGCTAGCGCGATATTTGTCCAAATGTTCAAGTTTGAAGATTTCTGTAACATCACCCAACAAACACTACATCCCATATCCCCAGGCTAAACTGTGAATTACTTAAATTGAGAGCCTCGTCATTCAAGAAAATGGTACCTGTGCGTTAGAAGTGTAGCCAATTGGTGGCAACTCTTTCCAAGCACCAATTCGTGTACGTTGCACCACGTCCTTTAACTTCGCCCTTTTTGGTATATAAAAAGCCTCCAAATGTATGAGAGGTCCCGGTTCACACTGGGCACCTCGCTCTCTCTACTTCACAACTAATCTGCGCCGATGGGAATAAATATATTTCACGACTCCTCTACCCTTTAAACACTTGTCCAGTAAATGTTGATGGAGGCAGCCACTCCCGCGAAAAATTACAAGACTGTTAAATTTTTAAATTTCGAAAAATATCTTAATTGTTCACAAGAATAAAAAAGTCACTTACACATTTTAACTCATTGACTCATGTAAGTGAATTTCAAAAATTCCGTAACACATTCTCGGAAGGGCACGGGGGAGGTCCGCCGCCGCTTGCGGAATCTCCGTAGGCTAAATTGTCAGTCACTCACTATTGAATATTTAGTCACTCAAGAGTGAGTGCCTGTGCGCCAGGAGTGTAGCCAATCAGCCGCAGCTCCTTTCGAGCACCAGTCCGTGTATATTGTACTCGGCTCAGTTCGCCCTCCTTGGTATATAAGAAACCTCCACATGTATTAGTTTCGTATGCACGTACATCTCCGCTAAGGGGAGGGATCTGACAAGGGAAGGATGATCGGTCGAAGTAACCATTTGGAATGAGCTGTATTTTCGGAAACCGTCCTCGGTAAGACAGACTCAAAACTACTTTTGCTGGGTGCCGAGCGGTTTTGTGGGGGGGGGGAGCTACAAGGCCATTTTCCTCCGGCGCAGCCGGCGCACCCAGTGATGAGCGAGGCGCTAGAGCAACGCAGCAGTGTGGCGGTGGCGCAGTGGCAAGACGGCGGACTACGAAGCAGATGGTCGAGGGTTCGAGTTTTGTTGGTGTTATTTTGTTTTGCAGTCTGTAAAAAGTCTATTGGGTGACAGTAAATGAAAAATACTCATTTCTAGGCAGTTGAAACAAGCTATTTACTGCAAGTCACTATTTCTACAATAAGCTGTAACCTTCTACAATATGTAAATCTGTGGAGGTTATGATGTCACAACAAGGAATTTAAATGATATATTAACATGTAAGGAATACAACCACAAAATGCTCAAAGCAGAAGAGCTTCTCGCAGCGCGCGCACTTGCAAAATTGCAATCGATCCCATGTATTGGCTCTCGATCCGAACTTTACCTTGCATTATAGAGATTCCATCCTTAAAATCTTATCGCTCATTTACACACAGTTTTGCTCGCCACGATTCAAAAATCTCCTTTCATACCCATGGCATGCAGCCGAATACATTGATAACCACCCCGGCAAATTCGAGTCTCCTATTCAGTACTGTTTTTCACCGACTTTGATAGGCAATTGTGAAGCTGCTGATTGTCATCGTTTATATTTTATCCGATGTGCGCGCTGCGAGAAGCTCTTCTGCTTTGAGCAATTTGTGGTTGTATTCTACATGTCAATATATCATTTAAATTCCTTGTTGTGACATCATAACCTCCACAGATCTACATATTGTAGAAGGTTATAGCTTATTGTAGAAATAGTGACTTTTTGCAGTAAATAGCTTGTTTCAACTGCCTAGAAAATGAGTTTTTTTCGTTTACTGTCATCCAATAGACTTTTTACAGAACTGCAAAACAAAGTAACAGCAACAGGACTCGAACCCTCGACCATCTGCTTTTTAGTTCGCTGTCTTGCCTCTGCGCCACCGCCACACTGCTGGGTTGCTCTAGCGCCTCGCTCATCACTGGGTGCGCCGGCTGCGCCGGAGGAAAATGGCCTTGTAACTCCCCCCCCCCCCCTCCCACCCACAGAACCGCTCGGCACCTAGCGAAAGTAGTTTTGAGTTTGTCTTACCGAGGACGGTTTCCTAATATACAGCTCATTCCAAATGGCCACTTCGACCGATCGTCCTTCCCTTGTGAAAGATGATGAGTATGTTTAGAACTGCGGAATTTGTGGCATTCGCAAATTGAGGGGTTTGCGAGATGTGCAAGACTCTGGATTAGGATTTAGCTGTAACTTCTTTTGATACAACTTTGATTCAAATCTGCAAGCAAATTTGTCTTTAGCTTGATAAGACGAATCTATCGGCACACATTATGTCCAGAGTGTCCCAAAAAGATGTGCACACTGTTTGATCGTTGATAACTCTCTTTTCATGTCTATTGCCGAGCTTGAGATACCATTCTAAAGAGCGAGGATAAACTAGATTTACCGTATAGAGCGAATCACTAATCATCCTTCATTACTGTAGGGTTACGGTATTTGCATACAGCGTCACTGTGGAATAGGCCTTTTGATGAAATAATTTTAGATAAAATCTGAAATTTTGTGTAGCAAGGTAGGCGTGCTAATTTCACTACATATCTTTCCACCGGTTTTTGGAGCTTTCTTGGTGGCGTATTCACATTTCCGACGAACATTGGAAAATCAGTTGTTACCCTAAATCGAGTGTAGGTTCTTCTGAACCCGCTTTAATCGCGATGGCTACGATAGGTCAGCGCCTCTCAGAGGTCACGCCTCAATTGGCTGCTTCGATAAGGCGAGCGGTTAACCTGGGCATGTGCGCTGCAGAGATAGACAAGTTCCTCAGTGATGTCCTCCTTCCCTCAAACCCTTGATAGAGATGTCGTAGACGCATGATTTATCCGAATGCTGTATTCTGCCGTTTTACCTAATAAACCCGCTGCTATCCACTAATTGACGTGCTTCCAATCACGGAATTGTGGGATGTGTCTGCTTCGACTATTAAAGTACTCTATTTTTGGTTGAGTAAGGTGAGTAGCTCTTTTTGCTCCATGTGTGCAATCCTTGCTGCATCGTGTATCGTCACATTCATTTGTGTGTGTGAACTAAACGAAGCTTGCAGGGAAAACGCACTTTTTGGTTTGATTATTACTGATAACCCGAGGCTGGTTCTTGTTAATGCAGTTTGTCGCCAACAGTTTTTCTGCGCCCTTATAGCGGCTGTATATTTACATTCATGTAAAGTCCAGAATCTAGCTCAGAAATTTGATCTACAAGCAGTGGCTTACGAAGGTTCAAGATTCCATGCACAACCCCAAAAATTAGCGAGAAATGAGCAGCGTTTGCGCAAAAAACTAGATGCTAATATAAATACTTTGGTATTGAGCGGAAGTCGTTTAGTGCAAAATATAAACTACTAGCCGACGTCCCCGGTCTAGTCCGGGCACTGGCAAACTGGCCTATCATGGCGACCAGAACGTCTTGAAACTCACGATTCGTCTCTCCTTCAGTCTAATTCTCGTTACCGATTTCCATTCTGTTTCGCTTCTGGTTGCCACTGCATCGCTCGTAGAACCCGTAGTTGCTGTCTTCCTTCTTGTCGGCTCTCCTCGTGACCGCATCGTCTTCGCCGCAGAATGCAAATAATCTTTACCGCTCTCTTCTACTTCACTTGGGGAAATGATATGATAGTAATTGAAGACCTTACATTTCCTTGGATGTAAGTAAACAAATCAATAAATCGATAGAAGGACCCAGCGAGTCGTCGCGAAAAGTAGCCTATCTTTTGCGCCGTAGCTTGTTTATAGGGGAGAGATTTTCAGCATTTTCGGTTCACATACAAAGAAGTCTATAAGCCACAAACATCCTAACAAACAAAGTTACAGTGTTTGAGTTTTATATATATATAGATTAGATATCGTGCAGAGATCATGAAAAACCATCTGTTGTACTTTGAATTGTGGGTCCGATCGCGTGTGCTTTCCTCTCGAAGCATCATGCAGTTCACAATGTTCAACGTGTGACAATGCATGAAGCAGAAAGGATGCACACATACAAAATGTGGCAGTATAAAAGTTCAAAATGAGATGAGGAAATTATTTCATTCATATAAATAATCAAGAATTTCAAAACTACGTTTCTGGAAACAAACCTGATTGATACAGGATAAAGTTAAGCCGCACAATAGCAAAACGTAGCCAAAAGCAGCTTTAAGAAATGGGGCTGGATAAGGTGAGGATTACTACTGCGTTCACATCTGAATGCTGTGACTTTCGAAAATAAAGCGTTCCGCAGAAGACTCGTCCAAAATGACCGCAGTGCAGGCGCCCGCGTCCTACTTGCGGGGTTACTGTAGTAGACGGTATTCATATTTAGAATTAGCGACTTTGAGTAACTCAGTTCAAGAGTTTCTGACTTGTTTGGCTTCCTTTCTAAGGCAGAATACCGCTTTCAATGGCTCAAATCCTCCTCGAAGTCCCTACTGTAATCCTAGTAATGAAGAGCGGCTGATAATTCGCTCCATATTTTGAAAATCTAGGTTGAACCTTGCTGCAAAAGTGGTACTTCAAGCTCGGCAAAAGACGTGAAAGCAAGAGAGTTATTAGTTTTGGGACACCCTGTATATGGTGATAAACGTATGGCGTACTCTGTTATTATGATAATGCTTTTGTGACGATGTATCCAAGTGTAAATTGCAAGTAATATGTTTTGTTATCGAGTTTTAACTACCGAAATCTGTTGAAAAAAGTTGAGCTGTTTTCATCCACCTTTACCACTAAAATCACCAATTTATCATTTATTAGTGGTGAT